TGTATAGCTTGGAGGAAAGATGATATAGGGGGAATATGATAGAAACATTTAGATACATAAGGGAATCAACACAGCAAAGGAGGAGACTATATTTAAAAGAAGAGAAACTACCACAACATGAGGACATAGTCTTAAATTAGAGGGGCAAAGTTTTAAAAATAATATCCACTACTTTACTGAAAGGGTACTGGATGCACTGAATAACTTCCAGCTATGAAGTGGTAGAGGGGTGCGTGGGATAGACATACGCATATCCTAGATATAAGATAAGGACAGGGACTAATAAATATATAGCTGTCACATGTATCCATCAACAAGAAGTAAAATAAGAACACTCAATATATATAAAATTAAGTATCTCTAACAAGAAACATAATAGAAACCGATTAGCCCCAGTGAATAAACCTATAAATAAAATGCACTGGATTTAGTTTATGTTCGGATTATGTTGATTTCATCTTGCTACTTGAACTATTTTTAGAGCAATTGCTGGATTTCCTGAAGAACTTCACATCTCATCTGTGTAAATTAATCAATCTCCTGGACAGGTTGGTTGGCTGTAAGTCATATGAAGATTTTTAACACGTGAGACTACCAGGCCACCAAGAACAATGGGGTCATTTATGTAAGTATGTGTTTTATTATGCATAAAATCATTTCGAAATATAGACACTGGAAAAGTCTGTGTCTTGTTCGTAGTCTCTTCGCAAATTTGATGTGATGTATATGTCCTCATTATTTTTCCTTTCACATGGTTAGCTGCAGATGAAAAGAACCAGAGTGCATAAAATGTGCTTAACGTAGGTGGAATTGATACAAATTACATACTTATTGTCTCCCATGCTCTAAGTATGTATATGTAATTCAGTTTTATATTATGTATTTTGTCAGAGATCAGTTTTCCCCACGCATTTTCCTCTACTACAGAAATATTTCTTTATCATGATAGCCCAGGGGTATATATAATATCACCAACAAAATCATGTCTGTCCTAATAAATAAAAAGTTATTTTAGAATATGCCATACATAAGCAGAACAAAATGGGCAAAAATAAAAATTTTACAAATTAAAATACTCAAAACCAGAAAGGGGTGTAATTGCCCCTTCAAAATACGCGGGTTGACAATTATAGAATCACAAATACACTTCCACAGGGATTCTAAACATCAAATTGCAAACTGCACATGCATTTTAAAAAAAAATGACTTTAGACAGTGAGTGCAGAATGCAGGCAGTCTCCTCTGTGTGCACACCAAAAAGTGTATGTATATATATATATATTTGTGCTCAGGGCAACCATCGATATGATTAATGCATACTGTGTAGTGACATAACGTGTATATTGGAAAAAGTTGGTTGAAGTGTGCCGGAACCGATGTATGCGGTAGGCCAGTAAATAAAGTGGGCCCACTTGAGTAGAATATAAATTAATAAAGGGAGTGGAGGGGAGATGGGCATGCAGATTGCCAGACCACTTATGGTAGGGTAGGCAAGAGAAATCCCTTATATAGGGCCCATATCCCCTCCCACAACTCCAGACAAAGCCTTAACATTTGTGTTCAGGGCAACCATCGATATGATTAATGCATACTGTGTAGTGACATAACGTGTATATTGGAAAAAGTCGGTTGAAGTGTGCTGGAACCTATGTATGTGGTAGGCCAATAAATAAAGTGGGCAAAAGGGATTAGTAAATAAATGAATAAAGGGAGTGGAGGGGGGAAGGGGCGCATGCAGATCACCAGAACAATTACGGTAGGGTAGGCAAGGGGGGAGTCCCTTATATAGGTCCCATAACTCCAGGCAAAGCCTTAACATTTGTGCTCAGGGCAACCATCAATATGATTAATGCATACCGTGTAGTGACATAAAATGTATATTGAAAAAAGTCGGTTGAAGTGAGCCGGAACCAACGTATGCGGTAGGCCAGTAAATAAAGTGGGCAAAAGAAAGAAGTACCATGCCAAATAAATATGTAACACAATGAACATAATACAAAGGAAAACATCTTAAGATGACATTTTTACGAAAGTCCTCCACATTTCCTGTACAGGTTGAGGTATGTATACCGAGAAAGCGGCTGACTTCCATTGACCTAGTGATTTCATAACATGGACTGGTATGTCCTGACTGGATGCAGTAAAAGCGGCCCCTATCCTGAAGGAGTGTCCTGAATATCTACTAGTATTCAAACCCAGTCTTGTTAGCAACAATCGCACATACAACATAAACTGTGAATTAGTCAGGACTGCTCCATGAAGTGACAGAAATGGTATTTCTGATAGCGTAGGGAGTGTGAGGAGATGAGAGTCAAGAACTTTCATCGGGCACCATCTATTGTGCATAGGGTAATATGTTATCTGGACTGGCTGTCCCAGTTGACTAGTTTTGGTAATGGGTAGTGACAGTATGTAGTGATCTTGGTGTTTTACTAGATCGGAGTGCTTGAGGCATCTATGGGAGTTATGTTTACTATGGATGGTAAATTCACATCTAAGGAACCCATAAAAAGCCAGATAAATTGCAGTTTTAATAACAGTATTAGTGATGTGTTCAAAAGGGGCTGAATCTAGCAAGTCTGACATATCTTTGAACAATTTTTTATTAATGGGTATATGGAATTTAATTGTAACACTCTCTCACAAAAAGAAAACTTTGTGTGTTAATGTTACCTGGAAAAATATGTTTTACAATCACAAAGTAAACACTTCATCAAAACAAAAGGTAAGATCTGGAATCCAAAGCCTATAAGGCTAAGCCTCTGACTATTGGAGACTTTGACATAAATCCAGAATCCCCTATCTTGCCAGGCTTTATTAATGATAAATGTAAGGATAAAGATAGAAATATCTAAATACAGCGGGACCTCAGTTTACGAATTTAATGCATTCTCCGGGACGTTTCTTATTGCGAAAAATTTGTAAACTGAAACGCATTGAATGCCAATTAATTAGGAATGCATTGAAAACCAATTATTCCATTCTGGAGGTCAGAAAAAAGTCAAAATGAGATGGCATGGAAACCAACCCACAATGCAGAACACACAGTAAAAGGCATGCAAACGACAAAGCTCAGCTCCCTACTTTTTCACAGCTTGAGAAATGCACCAAAAGGTCCCAAAACAACTGCCAACAATTTCCAGAATGGCCCCAAAACTCGATGCAAAAGCTGCTCCAACACCTCCACACTCGACGCCATGTGCTACCCACAGGCTCTAACATGCAGGGGCGGTGCTATAAACCTCCCAGGTGCCATGCATCCTGGGGAAACTTGCTTTGTATTGCGAAAATAACTTGTAATCCGAGGCAATATTTTCAATGGATTCTCATTTGTAAACCGAAAATTATGTTAACCAAGGCGTTTGTAAACCAAGGTCCCATATATTTATATATTTCAAAGTTATATTTCAAGAAAGACAGGGAGGAGGAATAGTAGCTACTTTGAATGATCTGAGGTGAGTATTTCCTTTATGTGGAGGCTGATATTGGTAGTGAACAATTAATCATACATTGAACTAATATAAAGGAAGATAGTTATTAAAATCTGCAGTCACACATTCACTATAAGCAAAGCCGGTGTAGTCATTTTGCCCTTACTTAAAATCTGCAGCCACACATATGGTTCATTAGGATAAACTCATCTTGTAGTAAATTTAGATGGAATTTCTATGCTCACTCAAAATTTTCTACAAGTGTCTCCAATATTGAGTCAGGCAGAGTATTAAAAGGTGGAGTTATTACAGTCTGCAGTTACACATATAGTTCGTTAGAATATACTAAAAGTGGAATCAGGTAAAATAGAATCTCAATGCTCATTTAGAGTCTTACTTTTAATCATAAATAAACCTCTCGCTTGTTGAATATCAGTTCAAGGTTATTCAACCTATAATTAAACAATTTAAATAGTTAGAATTTTTTTTTAAATTCTTTATTTTTGGTATGCAGGTAGGTGCAACAGTGCCTGCATCGCCACAACAGCATCAGCAGGCTCGATTTTCATAGTCCGATTATAACAATATTGTGGCGTGTTGGGTGTGCATACATTTTTATATGGTTAAGGTAACGATAAAGTAAACAAGCTATGAGCAATATGGTTTAAGTTTAATTAGAGTAGGTGAACAAGCATAAGTGTACAAGCTTAAGTGTATTAGCAGTGTAAAGTGGACTTTGAGTTTAACAATCTGTGCATCTTTACAGTAGGGTTAAGCATGGTAACACTTTCTCTATTTAAAGTGGGTGTCTAAGCTCTGTGGTTTGCTAGTGTGATTTTCAAGAGTGTGTTTCTCGCTTGGTGCTTTGTGTAAATCATGCTGCGTTATCTGTAGACAGTGTGTCTGGCTAAGCATAGTTGGAGTTGGTGCTAGGGCAAATAGTTACGAGCATAAGTCAATGTCCATGGATGGAAGCTTAGTGACAAGACTCCGCCAGGTTGAGTAGGATTTGAGGTTCATCTGTGCTGGCGTCTTCACCGCGGCCAGTCAGCAGGCAGACCGTGTCTTTTTACCAGCGTATCTGATTGCCAATCTGTGGGGAGGTTGTTGGATGCCCTGCCTTGGGGCACTCCGGCTTGGTAGAGTGTGAGGGTGTGCCTCTTCTGGGTGCTTCATAGTGGATCGTCATCTGGAGGGGTTGTGGTTATCGGGGCCCTTAGAGTTTGGCCCTCTCCAGCCCTGTGCTTGTTTGGTAGGTGCCTCTTGTGCCTTGGTAGTGCGGTGGTGTTGCCCTGCGCTGTTTCATTGGCGTGTGGCGGTAGTTGTGGGGTCGCAGGCCCGGGCTGGTGGGGTGGGCTGATTCTAGCCCGGTGCAAGGTGGGTGGTTTGGTGTTTCGGTCCCTGTGACCTGTCTTGTCGGGACTGGCAGTTGTAGGGTCTGGTGGCCCCTGTAGGTCTGCTTTATAGGGGCTGTTCAGTGGGGTCCCTCTCTGTGTGCCCCCCATTTCACCTTAGTTGATGCCCGCAACCTGTACCTTAGTTTACCCTGTGTAATCCGCCAACACGGACCTGGGGCAGGTTGTCATGGTGGTCTGGTGGTGTTGGGTTAGCTCCCCTTCGATATGCTCTCCTGCACTGGCAGTCCGCGCACATTGCTGGTGTGCGGCTGCCATCTTGTGGAATGGTGCACGTGGATGTTCCTCGCTCGGGCGATTGTTTATGCCCAGATTTGGTGTTCTGCTGGTCCCCTGCAGACCGGGATGACCCCCCGGTCCAGGGGGGGGGAACGAGACGCCGGCGGAGACCCGAGAGAGCGGCCGTCTCGTCCCTGCTCAAGCTCAAACGAACTCCGGGCCCCTGTCGGGTTACTGTAGGTACAGGACCGGGTCGTGTGCGGTGTCCCCGCTTGCCCCAGTGACTGGGGGTCAGTAGGGTCACCGGTATGGGGGAATAGTGGCGGTTGACTGTCAATTTGCGCCGATTTTCGGGCCCTGGAGTGGGAGCTCAGACAGAGCACGTCTGATCCCGCCGGCGGTCAGGCCCCGCCCCCTGAAATCAACATTTTAAGTGCTAATAATTCAAAATCATGCTTCAAAGTAGCTTGGTTTGTTACACCATCATGTTTAAAGTGTTAAGTGTCACATATTCATCCGCAAATAAAATGTTATTAATGAAATTAACTGTTCTGACGGGAAAAGTTATGCCGAGCAACATTACTGTCCTGACAGGAAAAGTTATGCCGAGCAGCAATCAAATCAGGAGGGTTTGTGCTGAGCAGCAATTATGCAAATGTTAACCTGGTAAAAACCTTTAGGGTCAAAGGCCGATTACAGCCTATCAGATCCAGAGGAGGGGTATTTAGGCCCAGTTCTCATCCTGCTCAGTCCCCTGTCATGGTTTCCCTAGTTGTTGTCCGAGAGTGTGTTCCTGATTCAAGTTTCTCCTGGTTTTTTACTTTGATTTTGACTTCCCTGTATTCTGGTATCCCTGACTTCTGGCTTTCCCTTATCGTTGTGTCTCTTTCTGTATCCCCTGACCTCGGCAAGTATCCTGATTACTCTTTGGTACGTTAAGTCCGGCCATTCTAAGGCCCGGTAATACGTTACCTATTAGTCATGTGTGTGACACAATTCTACGTGCTGGATCAACTAGTAATCCTGACATTAAGTGCCCAGTGATAGAATGCCCGACGGGCGTTTGAGTGCACAGCGTGTGCACTTTCGTCAGTGGTCAAAAGTGAACTGACCAAGTCTCCCCTTTTAAACCCATCATCCCACTTGGAACCCGTGACTTGAAGCCAATTGGATATTGCCACGTTAGTTTAAGGGTGTGACCTGAATAATTATAAAATCAGTTATGCAAAGCTACTCTTAAACTCCCCAAATCTCAGCTGTGATCAGAAAAAATTGGGGCATGCTATCAAGTGATGACACACTTCTGAAGGTTTTTAAAGAACCCCCTCATATTTTACAATAGAAATAAGAACTTGAAAGACCTACTTGTATGCAAAGATCGTATTGACAGTTATACCCAGAGTTCGAATGTACAGGTTCATTGGTCAATACGCTGTCTTGGCTGTGTCACGTGTGGACATATGGTACCAGCCCGTTCTTTTAACCACACCCATAAGAACAAGAAACTTCAGATTTGTTACACAATAACATGAAAGACGTCCCATGTGACTTACAAGCTGATGTGCCCATGCAGCTTGTCATACATTGGTAAAATGGAAACAGCACTTTGTGAACGAATTAGGGGGCATCGATCCAGCATAAGGACATACGAGTAGCAAAACATTTTCTCCTTTTAAATCACTCCTTAACAATGCTAAAATTCATAGCAATAGATCATTTTCCAGTGTCGAAAAGAGGGGGTGATCAAGTAAAATGCTCCTTAATAGAGAGGCATTTTGGATTCATGAATTAGAGACTATGTCTCCCAAGGGCCTTAATGAGACAATTCCTTATCATTCTTTCCTATAATGCCAACTTGTGTATATATATGATTTCTTTCAATATGGACTTTAGACTTATGATCAGTTCATTTGTCTTTGACATGCTTAAAAAAACCTGTTTTTAATTTATGTGTATATATAGTGTATAGTATGTAATAGTGGTTTATCTCTTTCACGTCACTTTATATGTCTAAGCACTTTTCCTGGAAAGGCACTGTATTCATATTTTGCACTTTAATAAGCTATTTTGCACTTTAACATGTGCAAGCACCTATTAACCACTTAAGCACTTTATACACTTTAACAGCATTTTAATATAAACTACAGTGAAATATAATGTAATTATTCATTACAATATATGATACACAGTTTGCCCAATTATGGTAACATCAGCTAATATTAGAAAGAAACAGTACAAGAAAGGGATTGGGCTGCGCCTATATTACTGAGTATAAGTCGCAAAGATATGTCACTGGAGCAGTAGAAGAAGGTCAAAGGCCCTTGGGTGGACTCTTCTTCAGGAGCAGATACGTCAGAGTGTTCGTATATATATGGAGACAAGAAGGAGATACGAGGGCAACCAATAGTGTAATAAGTAAAATCCAAAAGGTGATATATATAAAAAGATGGTAATACACTCACGATTAAAAGAGCTATGACCAGCTCTAGTATAGATGGCATACAGCGGTATAATCTCTGCTAATGGGATATGCAGGAAAATTGCGTCCGTCTGTGCAGTCTAGTTCTTCAATGCTGACTGGCAACTCCTCCCTGTGTTTCTCAGCACTGTATCCACTACCTCTGCACGATCTCACAGTAATGTGGCTTCTCAGGATAAAATACATAGCAGCTGCTCAAACCTCCAAACACAGATACTGGGGTATATTAGCATTTGTTTCATCCTTTCTCCCCAGTCATAATGTCACTTATCATTCACAGATTGTTTTACACTGCTTTAAATAGCAGCGGCACGTAACTATAGCAACACATCTTTGTACAACCTGTCCACGGCAACACGCGTGATGTCATCATGCATTTACCGCACAACGTCACTTTTGGGGACGGAGCACACATGCACCCGGGAACCGGCAGAACGCTGATAAACATTCACAGCACCTGGGGTGAGTTTAATTCCACTTAGTTTTAGTGTATATAAACGAATGTATTGTTAATTTGTTTTATGTTGATCCAATGTTGGGACTGAAACGTTGATCATTTTTTAACTTGGAATAATAAAGAAAGAATTTTAGAAAGACCGTGAGTGCGTCTGACTGCAATCTTATATATATATAAATTCAGATAGTGATCAGCACTCACGGATTTTCAAGAATTAAAATTAACAATTTATTAAGTATCCATTAAAAGATCAACGTTTCAGTCCCAGCAGGGACTTTTCATCAGGATCACTATCTGAATTTATTTGAATTTTCCTGGATTACAAGCACCCGGTTATTAAATCATCCAAGCCTGAGTGCAAGGACTTTTCTATTTTTGTTATATATATATATATATATATATATATATATATATATATATGTGTGTGTGTGTGTGTGTGTGTGTGATGGACCGTCTGGCACCCAGACCGGGTACCTCCGTCAATCGCTGCTTATAATTACTTGCTAGCACCATAAGCACTGCACTGGGACACCTTAACCACTGTAAACCCCACAAACCACTGCAGCTTGGTTGGGGCCTCACCATCCTCCACCCACCCTGGACCTAAGACCAGGATCCAGCTTCCAGTGGGTAGACCTCTCCTAGTCCAGAGAGCGTACCAGGAACAGCTCTTATAAGAGCTAGTGATTATACTCAGGGGAGGATTGTGATTATAGCAATCCTCAGAGTGAATATAGCTCTATAATCCTCCAAACATGAGCCCAGACTTCATGAAGGGGTAAGCGAATCTTGGTTTAATGGGCGCCACACTTGGCCTTATATGACAATTCCCATGCAAGGGGTACACCCACATGGACCTGATGGTAGACTGATTTGCAACTTCACAGACCAATAACAATAGGGTAACAAGGCACAAGACACTCCCACACACAGCACACAATCCCTCCCCTCTGTCTGGGAGATAATTGGATCAGTAACTGTACTAATTCTAATCCAATTATCGCCAAGCACAGAAAAAACATACTTTTTTAAAACACCCCAAAAGTACCCTAAAAATACATAACACCCCACATCCCCTGATAGCCCTGATCTAGGTGACCAACATATCCAAAAATCACCCAGATCAGTTTAGGGGTTCAGGAATTTCCTGGAAGTCTTATTTTTGACCGACCGTGCACATGGTCCTATGCCCAAAACAGTTCCAGGGAATCAGGGCTAACGGTCGGTCTCTCTGTCTGGAGTACAAAAGTACATAACTCACATGAACAGAGCCTTTTCAAGTGCATTGGGCAAGGTATATTGCAGGGCCCATAGTCCGGAGGCAAGAGGCTGGCCCCTCCAAGAACCCGTGATGAGGTTCAGTTTGTCACAATATATATATATATATATATATATATATATAAAATCTATTTTAGATGTAATATCCATATTACATTTACACAAAGGAAGTAACACAATTCATAGTGCATAGTAAGCATCTAAAAGGTTTAAGGTGTTATAAGTACAAAATTCCATAAAGTCATGACGATTCTGTAGAAATATTTCTTGAATATCATACTCTAGAAAAAAATGAGGAAAATAACTTTATTACTAATAATATGGGTCGAAATAGACATCATGGGTTATGTGAAACAAGTACATTTAGAACAAAAAGGGGAAAGAGAGAATGGTTTCCTAAAGTATCTGATCATATAATCTCTACTGCAGTGACCTTCTACATAGGGACCTTTGATTTCACTCCACCCAGTATTTACTATATGGTGTGCCCAATATGCAAGAAAACAGGGACGTTGCCTTGGGGTGCATTGCCCTTAGGGCGCATCGCCCTTAGTCTGCAAAGTCTGGGTGACAGGAGAGAGCTACACAGAGCTCCCTCCATCTGCCCTTCATTCTGTACAGGGCCGATTTGGCCCTATGGAATACTGAGAAATTTCCTGGTGGCCACTATTACCTGGGGTTGGCAAGCACTTGCTGTTGCCTTTTATAATTTTTTAAATAAATGTTTCCGTGAAATGATGGGACATGTGAGGAACCAAAGCAGCCAGTCCCTCCTCATAATGCACAGTGCTCAGGCTGCTGGGATACATGGGATCTCAGATCCAGCAGCCTAAGTTCTCTGAATGGCTGTGCATGATGAGCATGCATAACCTAGCAAAGAACCCTGGTGGCTGCTGCTAAGGACAGTATGTATCAGTAAACATGTGTCAGAGTGAGTGCGTAACAGTGAATTTGTTTATCCCTGAGTGTATATGTGCGCTAGTAATTGTGTGTTTGTGTGTCAATGAGTGTGTCAGTACGTGTATATTTGTGTGTCCAGACTGTGTCAGTAATGAGTGTGTGTCAGTATGTGTGTCAATGAGATTTTTGTTTGTGCGCCAGCGAATTGTGTCTGTGTGTCTTTAAAATGTCAAATTTCATTAA